TTTGGATGAGACAGAAAAAATGATGTCCAACTTTTGCTGACTATCACAAGTGAATTATTAACTTTGACCAGAAACAAATTTTAGATATTATGATATTATTAGTAATATTATCCTGAGTGATCTGTGAAGTTATCATCTAAACAACTCTTAAGAATTCCCGATCAGCCCAACACCTTTTAACTAAGCTACTTTTTTGTTATGTGTTCAGGCTCTGCGTCTTCTGGCTGAGAGGGAGTGTGGTCTACTGATTATCATGTAGCATTTGGTAGTGGTGCTACATTATGTACAACAACATGCTATGATTTTTTTATATATTGCCTTTTGAAAGTCATTTCCATGATTGATCTTTTAAAATTCATCCTTGTATATAGAATTTACCAAGGAGTTCTGGTAGTGCAGTGCCTAAGGCACTTGACTGCTAACCAGAACACTAGCGGTTCAAATCCACCAGCCACTCCTCAGAAGGAAGATTGGACAATCTACTTCTGTAGTGATACTGCCTCGGAAACCCAAGGAGGGGTCACTATGAGTCGGATCTGACTCGATGGTAGTGAGCTTGTGTGTGTGGTATAGAATTTACCAGAGTTGTTGTTAGGTAGGTGCTCTTGAGTTTGTTCTGACTTATAGGGACACCATGTGCAACAGAACAAATATTGCCAGTTCTGCACCATCCTCATAATCTTTGCTATACTTGAGCCCATCATTGTAGCCACTCTGTGAATCCATCTCATTGAGGGTCTTCCCATTGTTTGCTGACCCTCAATTTTATCAAGCATGATATCATTCTCCAGGGACTGGTCTCTTCTGACACCATGACCAAAGTATGAGAGACTAAGTCTGGCCATTCTCATTTCAAAAGAACATTCTGGCTGTACTTCTTCCAAGACAGATTTGTTCATTTTTCTGGCAGTCCACAGTACATTCAATATTCTTCACCAACACTCCAATTCAAATTCATCAATTTTTCTGTGGTCTTTATTCATTGTCTAGCTCTCACATGCATATGAGACTATTGAAAAGACCATGCTATGGGTCAGGAAGATCTTGCTCTTCAAAATGACATATTTGTTGTTAAACACTTAAAAGAGGTCTTTTGCAGCAGATTTGCCCAATGCAATATGTCATTTGATTTCCTGATGGCTGGTTCCATGGGCATTGGTTATGGATCCAAGTGAAATGAAATCTTTGACAACTTCAGTGTTTTCTCCATTTATTATGATGTTGTTTATTGGTTTTACTAGAGTGGGGAGGATATATTGTGCACTGATAGTAATAGGTATAGTTGCAATCAAGGTATAAAGAAGAGTAAATATATGGGACATAATAGTCTCTGTTCTGAACTTTATAATCAGAGACATGAAAGTGTTTTTTCTCCTAGTTTATTTCATATTTTATGTTTTTTTAAAATTATTTTCCTGAATTCTTACAATGAACATAATGTAAAGAAAATGCCAAATGACTTCAAGAATCATTTCACACTGGCCACAACTCACTTCTTTAATCATGCGCTAGTGAATGTCATACCCATGTGACTCCAGCTGAAATATACTGTATTTTCTGGGTTGTAGAAGTATACACTATGCAAGAAATTACACCATGATCTAAAAACTATATATATTCACAGATGTTCCAAAATTTTGATTAGATTCCCTTAACAGATTAGGGCTTAGAGAGTAATTAGACCATTTCAGTTGCCCTAGGAATTTCAAGTGCTTTTATTCCAAAAAACTGTTTGGTGGGTCACTAAATTAACAGTGTCTATTTGTGACCCGTTTGATACAGAACATTGTCTTAACCACTAATAGGCTCCTTGGTGACATTTTCTCCACAAAGGGTCTAGTGGTGTAATCAAAAGGCAGCAACATATGTAATACCAACCAACAAACAACAACAATAAAACAACCACACTCACTGTCATTGAGTCAATTCTGACTCATAGCAACCCCCACTGGGTTTTCAAGTTTATAAATCTTTATGTAAGCAGACTGACTCTTCTTTCTTCTGCAGAGAGGCTGATGAGTTCATACCACTGACCTGGTTATTAACCAAATACCTTAACCACCACCAGATTTCTTTAACATGGACCCAATTTAATTGTCTTCAAAACTAAATGCAAGGTAAACAAAGAGATCAGAAAGTTGATTCAGGCATTGTATCTGAATTTCAAAGTATTTTAGTTTGGTTTTGCCCCTAATCAAGTCATGAGACAGACTTCTGGAAAAATAAACAAACAAATTCATTGCCATTGATTTGATTGCAACTCATAGTGACCCCTCCTTGGGTTTCCAATGTGGCATCTCTACAGAAGTAGATTGCCCAGTCTTCCTTCTGAGGAGTGGCTGGTGGATTGAACTGCCAGCCATCTGATTAGCAGACAAATACCTTAGGAACTATGCCACCAGAGCTCCTACTGACAAAGACTTGGGTGTAGATAATTTATCTGAATGGTGATCAAGTAAGCACCTGGGATGTAAAGGACTGGGGTGAGTGAGGCACTAAAGGGAGAAAAGCCAATATAGGGACATTAATGAGGTGGATACTGTGGGTTCCTTCTTTCTAGGGATCTTCAAAGGAATTCTGAAGAATATCCCTTAGAATTGTTCTACCAGGGGAAGCCTTTAGGCAAAGAAGCAATGAGACACAGGGGATTGAGATATAAAGCTGTCAGCAAACCTAAACTATGAGCTCCAAAATGGGCCTAGGACAGAGTGGGGCATTAAGCCCATCTACTGTAACAGACAGTGATGTACATTGTGAGATGTTCTTTGTAAAGCTACCCTGGGAATACAAGATAGTAACGTTGAGACCATCAGAGCACATCCAATAAAATGCACAAATAATCCTAATTTGATTTATAGAGGCATTGATATTGGGTTAGTAGTGGCCTTAAAAGGAGCCCTGGTGGCACAGTGGTTAAGCACTCAACTGTTAACCAGAAGGTCACTGTTTTGAATCAACCATTCCCTCCAGAGAAGAAAGATGTGGCACTTACTTCCATAAAGATTATGGCCTTGGAATCCCTATGGCGCTGTGCTAGTCTATAGACTCCTATATGGTCTCTATGAGTTGGGATCTATTCAGTGACACAGGGATTCTGTGACCTTGGTCTGGTCTAAACACGAGAAGATTTCCATTGATAATGTGGAACCAACAGCTGAGACCTAGGCAGTATACTTTAAAACCAAGTGGTCCTAGGATCATGAACAAGTTTTGTTTCTAATCTATCTTTAAGTCCAATTTTTACATAAGTTGAAACAGTTAAATATTGTTTATATTTAATATCAGTTACTTTAATGTTCATCTTAGCATATAGCATATAGTGGACATTTCAATGCATGAAAACATTAAAGAAGCACTTCCAAATATACTAAAACATCTTTAACCTAATAATACAATAAGAATTATGATAATGTTTTGATGCATGTCACAAAGTAACACCCATTTATTATTATAAACCATTGTATGCACCTTGCATTTTTAATATAATCAGCTTAGGTTGGTTCATGTTTACAGTTGTATGTCTGACATTGGTAACCCCAGGGACTGCCTATACTGAACTGACATTTAACATGGTAACAATGCAGACAGGAAAAGACAACCCATCCCATGCTGAAAATACAAGCAATGCTTGAATGTGTATTTTTACTGTGAAGGAGGGTAACAATTTACTGTTATTCATGGGAAGGAACCTCTCAGGCTTCATTAATTACCCTTTACTCAGGTAATTTTAGTCCCCCCCCAACCCCAAATAATGAATTCCTCAGTGGTGCAAAAGATTAACATGCTTGCCTGATTGCTGAAAGGTTGGAAGTTCAAGTTCAGCCAGAGTTACCTTAAAAGAAAGGCATAGTTTTCTACTTCAAAAAATCAGCCACTGAAAACCCTATAGAACACAGTTGTGCTTTGACATGCATGGTGTTGCTTTGAGTAAGAGTTGACTTAATAACAAAAAAAAGAGAAAGAATTCTCACCAGCAATGGAAGTAATACGTGAGTCCATTCTTTTTGTTCCAACCACTTAACATTTACTTTAGGTTCTACATCTCTCCAGATATGTCTGTGAGTTTTTGACATGACCAACTGACTCTATTTAGGAATGAAAATTCCAGGATGCTCCTTTACAGCCCAAGAATGTCCTTTGTGATTATTTCCAGAGGAAGATGTGGGAGAAGGATTATTGAAGATAAGAAGGAAGGAAGGAAGGAAGGAATGCTATCAGAATGGAGCATGAGAAAAGGAAGGAAGGAAGGAAGTAAAAGAGAAAGATAAAACATGTTCCCATATGGCTTAGGGAGCTCTGGTGGTGTAGTGCCCAAGGCATGTGACTGTTAACCAGAAGGCTAGAGGTTCAAATCCACCAGCCACTCCTCAGAAGGAAGACTGGACAATCTACTTCTGTAGAGATATCACCTCAGAAACCCAAGGAGGTATTTAACTGTTAACCAGAAGGCTGGCATTTCAAACCTACCAGCTATACTCTTTGGAAGGAAGACTGGGCAATCTACTTCCATAAAGATAGCGCCTCAGAAACCCAAGGAGGGATTGCTATGAGTTGGGATGGCTCTGAGTGAGTGTGAGATATGCCTTAGAGAAGTTAAACATATGTTAGGTCACATGGTTGATAGCCTGACCACTGCTTCCCAGTGGCAGAGTTTGAAGCAAGAGAGAAGCCGCAGACAGGAGGTCTTTCTGTTAGGGTCTGTTTACTTATTACATTGAATGCTACTAAACAAATGGAGTAAATGTAACAGAGAGAGAAAAAAGCACAGCCAGAAATATATTTTTAATAGATAAAAAAGTAATTCACTTATTTTTCTTTCTTTAATCCTCCTTTGGATGCTAACTGTAGTGACATTATCGTTTGTTAAGAATTGTGGTACTCCTGGCAGTGCTTGGGCCATTGTTATTGCCTGTATTTGTCATGTGCCAGACTCTAGTTATTTCTATCAGGTTTTTCTTTCTTTCTTTCTTTTTTTTTTTTTTTGTGTGTGTGTATGCCAGATTGATACATTTCAAGTTGAAGCAGTGTCTCTTGGAAAACTGCAGAAGGTGCTGTTGCGTTGTGAGGCCTGCAATAAATCACAATACTGGTACTGCGAGAAGGTTGTTGTCAAAGAGCCTGGAGCCACATCAGAGTCCATCTTCATCTGTGAAAGGTAGTGCTGGTTGCTGTGGGACTTAAACAGAGTGTGTTGCACTGTGGATGATGTTACACAGGTTTTTGGTACATTGATTTGTGTCATTTATGTGGTATTCCACACCTTGTACCATGCTCTCATTGATTAATTAAATAATCTATTGTAAGCATTGTAAATAACTCTCATCTTATAATTTCTTATTATTGCAATGTGCTATGTTTCACAAAATGATTGAAAGTTTAATATTGGAAATTATTAGATAAATACTGAAAATACTAGCTTAAATGTAGGTTTCTTTAAATTATTAAAATTGTAGTGTTAAAACAATCTCATAAAGCATTTAAGAAGGGAAAATTTCAGAGAGAAATGCTATCAGAATGGAGCATGAGAAAAACAAAGATTTATAATAGAGGTAACTTGAGTTTTCCCTGGAGCCCCATAAGGGTGAGTTCTGGAAGAATTGAGTTGTCTCAGTAGTTTCTCTTTCCATTCCTGACTATGCCTCCCTTTCATACCCCCTTGTTGAAATCTCTTCTTCAGAATTGCACACCTCTTTGCATAAGAAAATTGCAACCTTTTTCACAGAAAGGAGACTTGCCCTCTAGATCCTTTCTGAGTCCTGCCATGACAGGTACTACTCCGAGCTTGGGATAGATGGGCATTTGTGCTTATCATTATTTAGTCTTTCAGTCATTGGGAGCAGGATGGGCACAGACGCTGGAATGAGACTGAATAAGCACAGATTTTTACATTAAAATTCAATTTAGTCCAACAAAGCTCAAACTTCTTGAGAAGCATCTAGAAAGAGCATCTAGAAAAAAGCACTGTTGTTCCTACAGTAGGAAATGGATAGGATTTTAATGTGAAAATTTGTGTTTACTCAGATTTTAATAGGTGGATATGGAAGTGAAAAACCTTGGGCTGTATTTTGAATCTTCGTTGTTGAGGACTGCCTTCCTTCTGAGTAGATTAAAAAGGAAAAAAAAAAAAAAAAAAAAACACAGAAAAAACTCACTTCCATCGAGTCAATTCAACTCATAGCGACCCCTTCTTGGGTTTCTGAAGTGATATCTCTAGGAAGTAGATTACTTAGTCTTCCTTCTGAGGAGTGGCTGGTGTGTTTGAACCAATAGCAGTCAAATACCTTAGGCACTACACCACCAGAGCTCCTTCCAAGTAGATAATGATAAGGAAATGATATATATATAGATAATATAGAGATAGATATAGATATACACACACAAGAAACCAGTGGGTTCTGGAAAATATAGTGGTTGAACAGTCTGGATTTGGAGATACCAAGGCAATTGCAACATTAGTAACTAAGTAAAAACTGGAGAAAAATAATGAGGCAAATCAATGAAAAATACTAAAGATATGCCACTAAAAATATGCAAACACCAAAGAGAGAGAATTACAATATGCTCCTTTTGCCTTTTCATTCATGATTTTTTTCAATTCTTTTTTTAGCGGGCCTGCTTAATTTATCTCTTCTCTTATCTCTACTATATCCTAATGATGACTTTGTTTCATCAAGTCTTATTACTGTAATAGTCTTCTAATGGTCCAATTGTCTTTTGACTCTGTCTTTTCCAGTCTACCCTGCTCACCACTCTGAAGCCAATCATACTATGATACTTAATAGCATCATTCTGACTTTAGCTTACCTTTTCTTCTCTCATTTTTCCTTCGCTGTATTTATTGTTTAATATTTTATTGTATAGTTTTGTCCTAAAACTTTTTAAGAAAAAAAATGGGGGGGGAGATAATGTTTCTAAAGCAATATTTTAAGCACATTACTGCCCTATTCAAAAGCCTTTAATAATCTCCCCAAATCCAAACCAAACCCACTGCTGTCTATTGAATTTCAACTCAAAGCCACCCTATAGGACAGAGTAGAACTGCCCCATAATGTTTTCAAGGCTGTTATTTTTATGGCAATAAACTGCCACATCTTTCTTCTCAGGAATTGATGGTGGGTCCAAATTGCCGACCTTTAGGTTAGCAGCCAATCATTACATCACCAGGGCTCCTTTTATTAATCCCATTGCCTACAAAAAAAAAAAAAATCAACTTCATGATATTTCCATTCACAGTTTAATAACTTCTGACTTTGTTTTATCCGCTCCAATTTGCTTTCATAACTTTCTCTTGAAAGATCTTAGTTAAATTCGGCCAACTGTCACTGTCTGAACAAGTTCTGTACCATTTTGCTTCTGTCCTTTGGAGTATGCTATTCTGTAAACAGAAATGCCCTTCCTTATAGTACTCTCGCATCAAAATCCTGCCATTTTTCAAGTAGTGATACTGCCTCAGAAACCCAAGAAGGGGTCGCTATGAGTCAAGGCTGACTCAACGGCACATAACAACAACAACAATTCAAATTCTGCCTCTAGCATGAGCTATTTCTTTCAACTCTATACAACTTCTCTCTTCTTTCAGCACTTACTCAGAATGCCATATGACAGACATAGACATGTAAGAAATAGTGCCTTGTAGCACTTAAGAAGATAAGTGGGGCTCTTCCTTTTCCTTCTTCCTTTTCATGGGTTCCCAACCTGCTCCACCACCACACATGGACATCTTAAGGGCCTGTGGATAACAGTATTTTATTCCTCAAATCAGAAAAGCTAAGGAGTTACTCCTCTAGAACTTTCTTTTTATGATCTTGTATAGTTTGTCAAATTAATTTAGTTGATTTCTTTGAAATATTAAATTTTCTGGGAAAAATTTAGGTTTATGACTCACCAATGCATGTGCTTGCACATATATACCAGGCCATCACTTCCACCACCATCCCTGTTACCATATTGTCACCACCCATCACCTCCTGGACTACCTCATGTTTTTACCAAGCCCAAACGGCCTGCTCTGGAAGGAAGAGATATAACTGATGGTTTAATTTTAGTTTCAGTGGATTATATTTGAAACATTTAAGTTAAAAAATATGGTAAGCCATCAAAAATAATATAACACATACACTACCCAGATTTAATAAATGTTAATATTTGATGTTGTGGACATAGTACATACTGAAGAACTGATAGCCAATGCTCATTCATAGAATGCTCGATGAAGATGAAAATTACTTACAATCTGGAAAGAGAGGTGGTCAGAGGAGGGAAAGAGAGAGACTGAAGCAAGTTGGTGATGGAGCCAGGAATAGAAATCAGATTCAGGAGCTTCTTTTCTGCAATGAAAAAAAAAACAGACTGAAGCCACTGTTGCTTCTTCTGGAAGGATGCTCTATGGGGCAAGGAGATGAGCTGTCTTAGGCACAGTGGACTGTCTCTGCACTGTGGATCCTCTCTGGATTTGAAAGGGCTGGGTTTAAGATCTGGGTAGCTCAGGCATGCTCAGAGGGCATAAGTAGTCTGGAGCTTAGGCACAGAAACATAAGGCTATGTGGCACAAGGCCTGGGACATGGTGGTGGTGGGAGTTCCAGGCATGTTCCTTGGAGCTTTCTCAAAGGAATGAAATTTACAGCACAGCTGAATTAGGACAGAGAGAAACCACAAAATGCTGGTCGTTTTCTGAGCTGAGAGGAAGACACAGTTCAGCCAGAATCCAGAGCCTGGAACCAGGACTCAAGTTCTATGCACAGTGGGGGCTTCCTGCAGACTGCACCCTCCTTGTCTTTTTTCCTCCTTTCAGCTGAACACCCACATCTTCATGGCTTCTTTTATTTCTATACCTGAAGATTTTGTTTCTGAGCTTTTTGGTATACTTAATATAGACAGTAGTATATACACCACTGAATTTCTACCATTTACACATTGTTGTTGTTAGATATTGTTGAGTCTGATATAACTCATAGTGGCCTTATGTACAACACAAGGAAACACCGCTCGGTCCTGCACCATCCTCACAATTGTTGCCATGTTTGAGCCCATCTTCACAGCCGCTGAGTCAATCCAGCTCACTGAGGCTCTTCCCTTTTTTCTCTGACCCTCTACTTTACTTTTTTTCTGTGACCCTCACATACACATTGTATGTGAGAAGGCGTGATATCCTTTTCCAGGGATTAGTCCCTTCTGACAGCATGAGGTTTGCCATTTATCTATAAAGTTTGGATATTTGAGGATTTTTGGATTCCAATCAGGCAGACATTCAACTGATTTTATGAATTAAAGAAAATATTTACTATATGATTAGATCACACAATGTACTATGCACCATAAGGTTTGTTAGCATCAAATTAGGAAATGCTAGAGTTTTCTGTGTATATTACCATACTTGTAGTACTGTGTGTATGTGTGTGTAAAACCAAAAAGAAAAAGGAAAAAAAAAAAAAAAACCTCATTGTCTTTAAGTCAAGTCAGACTCTGTAAGACAGAGCAGAAATTCTCCAAGGCTATAAATCTTTAGGGAAGCAGACTGCCACATTTTTCTTCCACTGATGTTTTGGTTAACACCTGAGCTTTAACTACTGTGCTACCAGGGATCCCATATGTATGTAAATCTTGACTTTAATAATGAAATAACTAAAAGAAGTTAATGTCTTGTTTTTAATGGAATAATGTCATTTAAGACAGATGTTTGCTAGTCTATTTGACTCAGAGGGTCTAGATTAGCTGAGATTCAGCCTGAGGGCCTCACTGTCTTGTGACTGCAGCAATGGAAATGTCATGGGCTTGCGAGAAGCGAACTATTTGAAATAAATTCCTACCTAGGGCAGTTCTAAATAGAACAAGAATTTATAGATTCAGGAATTGAAAAGTTAGATGCAAATAAATGATCTCCAAAAAAATGAACAACCTCTTAAAGCAGAGCAGCATGACCAGAACTGTCATCTCAAAACCAAACCATCTAGTCAGATAGGGGGATTGACCTGAGATGTATTAAGATGTTAAGGACTAAGGACAAGAGGCTGCACAGTTTTCCTGAGGGTTGATAACTGAAGCCAACACTTTCAAAGTGTTCCAACCTCGTTTCTATTCAGCAGTCTTAAGGTGTTTTTTTTTTTTTGGGGGGGTGGCAGTTGAGATAATTTTCTTTGTGCAAAAATGTGAGAAATGAAAACTTTAAAAAGGTTTCTACTGTGAATAGAAAAGACTATCAGAAAGTTCTGGAAACTTTCGATGGGTAGAATCTACCTCTACTCCAGCCCACTATCAGTTACACAATCCTCAATGCCATCTTGTTAATTTTTGAAAAAGAAATACAAAAGGAATTGTGGACCCTGAAAGCAGTGAGTACAGACTTGAGCCAGAGGTGCTAAGAATGCCTTTCCCATACCCTTAGGATCACACTCTGCAGGAAGTTTCATAAACTGAAGCAGACCTGGCCACACACAAGGCTGCACCAGGCTGAGTGTGGCAGAGGTGGTTCCTCTAGTTGGCATCAGTGCATTCTCATTGGGCACTTGCTATCTGCGTCTGCCTAAACCCTGACCATCCCCTGGTGCCAGAGATACAGTAGGCTTGTACCAGGATATCTGCTGGTGATTTAACACAAGATGTCACTCTGGCCAGGAATATTTTCCTGAACCTCAGGTTAGGCTAATTTTCCCTTCCCTCTATACCTTTAAGGAGCTTTGGTGGCACAGTGGTTAAAGCATTTGGCTACTAATAAAAAATTCAGCAGTTCGATGAACATTTACAGTAGGGAGATACACTCCTTGGGAAATCAATCATGGGAGAATAGAAGGGCTGTGCATGCAATGGAGTGCCAGGGGCAGGAGTGTATGGAGAGAGGGACACAGGGAAGAGGTAGCTATGGGGGGGGGGAAGTGGGAGGGGAGCTGTTGCTTTGTGGTAAATTGTAGTCAATGTCATGAGACAAATTGTATGTGAGCTGCTGTATGGAAAGTGAATTTGCTCTGTAAACTTTCACACAAATCACAATAAAAATTAAAAAAAAAAAAAGATCAGCAGTTTGAACCCACCAGTCACTCTGTGGAAGGAAGATGAGACATTCTGCTCCCGTAAGGATTTACAGCCTTGGAAACACTATAGGGCAATTCTACTCTGTCCAATAGTGTCACTATGTATCTAAATCAACTCAATATCAGTGATTCTGTGTTTGGTTTTATATATCTTTAACAACGTACAAATCATTAACTCCCCACTTACCATATTAAGTTATATTTGAGTATTTATGTGTCTTCCTATCTCTTTCAACTCTCAGTACACTTTTAGATATTCCTAGTTTCAGACCCTATCATGGTTCCTTGAACAGGATAGTTTAAGTGTGCATTAAATTGAAGCAAAAAGTGTGTGTTAATCAAGACACAGTAAACCCTAAGAGAAATCATGTTAACTGAGGGATTTGGAATGAGAATACAAATTCTAAAAGGTTTAACTATGTCTTAACCTCACTAAGACATATGTAAACCAAATTATCCCTTAATAGTGTTTTTTAAGTATTCATGATAACAATGGCAAATAGTCATTCTTAGAATTAGTATAGGAGTTAAAAAAAAGAAAAGAAAAGAAGAAGACTACTTGAATGCCCCATTGGTATAGAATTTTAGGCAAAAT